TGAAATGATTCTTCCTAGTTTCTTTATTAGGATTAGAAATGCTGGTGCAGCAGCTCTCTTCTTCAAGGGGAGAGGGAGGCCAAGAAGGCTTGTAGGGATCATACTTAAACAGGGTTTATCTTGCTGATGTCTATCCCCAGGCTCAATTTCACAATATTGATTGTTGTTGTATGTTTTTTAGTTGCCCGTGTGTTAGGAATGACACAATCTCTCCACAGGTAGAGCCGATGATGTACTTAGTCTCTAAGACCCTGGGAAGGATTTTCTTAAAGACAGGGAATACATGATTTTGAATGTGGCCCAGCATAGCTTCTTCCACAACCTGACATATTGATAGCTTGTGCCAAAAGGGAATCCTGTGTAATTGTGTAATGATAATGTGACAGGGTTTTGACAAATGGTAGGGAAAGGGGCAGATTATTGTGGTGATTATCCTGTGCATATCATCAAGTGTGTTTTCTGCATTTGTAAGTGCCCAATTACCAGGTCATACAGGAAAATGCCCAGGCTCAATATATCACCTGCCAGTCCATTATAGGATTTCCTTGTCAAAATCTCTGGTGCCCAATAGAGCAAGGAGCCAGAGACTTCCAACATCTTACCCTCTGCAAGCTGTGTTGCCTTACCAAAATCACATAGCTTGGCCATGCCAACTCCATCCAGAATATTCTCTAATTTAATATGACAATGTTCAATGTGTCTTTGGTTGAGAAAGTGCACTGCTAACATTACCTGTTGGAATATTGATCTAGTGGTCTTGTCCACTAGATAGTCTATCTCCCCGAGGAACATCTCTGGATCTTTTCCTGCAACATATACTCCATGACCACATAAGTTGTCAGTGTGTCAATGACATGAAAAGATGAACTGTGTTACTGTGTTCTAAAGATTGAAGGATGTTTACTTCAGAGCTGATGTGAGCCAGACCATTGTGGTTTTTCTGAAGGTTTTTGACAGGCAGGAGTATCTATAGAACATGGTGTAGCTTCTGCATTGTGTGCCTCTTTATCCTACATTCTCTTTCTGAAATTGACTCTTTAGAGCTTCTATACTGATGGTAAACACTGTCTCACTAGCTCTCTTCAAGGAGAATGGGAGGCTGAGAGGACCTGCAGAGAGCATATTTAAACAGGGAGTCTCATTGTGCTGATGGCTGTGCCAGATGCTCAGTTGGTATTTCAGAATATTGAATGTGGCTGTTATTTCATTATTTGGTACCTGGGTGTTGAACGTGGCATCTCATCCATGCAGGTGTATTTGTGGAGCATGGTGAGACTTCTTCAACATCTGTTTCTTCCACACCTTCTTCCCGAAAGAGATTCTTTCCAGCTTCTATACTGATTTCAAAAGCTGGTTCACTAGCTCTCTTCGTTAGGGGACAGGGAGGCTAAGAGGACCTGCAGGGATCATAATCAACCAGGGTGTATAATCTTGCTGATGGCTGTTCCCAGTTCTCAGTTGGTATTTCAGAATATTGATTGTGGCTCTTAGTTTATTATTTGGTGCCTGGGTGCTGAACAGGGCATCACATCCATGCAGGACTATCTGTGGAGCATGGTGTAGCTTCTGTTTCTCTTGCCTCATTCTTACCACCCTCTTCCCAAAACTGACTCTTCCCAGCTTCTTTACTGATGGAAAAAGCTGGTTTACTTACTCTCTTCTTTTAGAGGAGAGGGAGGTTAAGAAGATCTGTTTGGATCACAATTAACCAGGGCATCTAAACTTGTTGATGGCTCTCCCCAATGCACAATAGATATTTCAGAATATTGATTGTTGCTGTTTTTTATTTGGTGCCTGGGTGCTGAGCAGGAAATCACCTCTAGACAGGAGTGTCCGTTGAGGATGGTGTAGCTTCTGGATCCCTTGCCTCTTTCTTACACACCTGCTTCCTGAAACTGACTCTTCCCAGCTTCTATACTGGGATCTAAAATGCTGGATCACTAGCTCTCTTGAAGGGGAGAGGGATGATAAGAAGAACTTCAGGGATCATATTTAACCAGGGCTTATCTTGCTGATGTCTAT